TCTCTCTCTCTCTCTCTCTCTCTCTCTCTCCCTCTCTCTCTCTCCCTCTCTCTCTCTCCCTCCCTCTCTCTCTCTCTCGTTTCGGAAAATGAAAACGAGAGTGAATCTTCCGCGTGAACATGCAAAGATACACCGTTGAGGTAACCGTTTTTTTTTTCTCTTTTTTCCATGTTTTTCTGTCGTTGCATTTTGCATTTTGTGTTTTTTTTTTTCCTGTTTTTTTTTTTCCTCTTTTTTTTTTTTTTCCGTGTTCTTGTCCAAAGACGTTCGGGAGGTTAGCGCCCGGTAGTTCGAGTCTCAGCAAGGCTTGGCATACCGGTCGGCCGAGGCTCGGACTTGATAGCTGGGCCAAGTACTGGTGGTTTAAATAAACCAAAAGGTAGTCCCTTTTTAAAAGCGGCACTGAAAATCAACCCTAACGTCAAATACCGGTCTCTGCGCGTGCGCATGCAGTGTGCGCGGTCATGTTTATTAAAATTTTAATATTTCTCTATCTTGCACCCTTGTGCAAGATCTCTGGCCGGACCACTGGTTCGTCCGACATCTTGGTAATGCGTGCCTCAAAGTGCACGCCCACACACTTTCTAATACAAACAAGGTGCCCTGGCTTCCTCTGACTGCTGAGAGTTGAATGCTACTTGTACAAAAAGATGGATGCATTACTGCCCTAGCTTGCTCTACAAATGCAGTTTCTGTGCCTGGAAAAATACGGACAAATACCCTTTCACGGGTATTTGGGCCCACAATGCCTCCCATCTACTTCCCCCACCCCCCATAGAGTAGCAGCAGTGGCTATGGTCAACTCGCCCACACACCACACACAACCCACTCACACTCACACCCGTGTTGGTGGTCATACACCCGACCTATATCGAATCAGGGGTATCAAGCGGACTATCACAGTCGGTTGGCACTAAGTGCGCCGCAGGCGGTCATTGGGTTCCAACCCACAACCTCCTGAATCTCACTTACCTGCCTAAGGGCAGATCCCACTGGCGAGGACGATTGGAATAATTGTCTGAATGTGGACCTTTTGCACGCACAGATGCAGAAAAGCAGATCAATCACAGTTTTCTGCACCTCTCCACAAGCACGTCCAGATTCAGACACTCATTCCAATCCTCTTCGCCAGTGGGATCTGGCCCTAACCAACTGAGCTACGTAGGCCATCCGTTAAAAATTGGAACGGTACGCAGAAGATTGCATGGCCCCTGAGCAAACACCCATAAATTGGGAATTTTCTGGTTTTTTTTTTTTTTTTTTTGGAAAGCATTCACTTTATAAGAACCAGAATAGATCGAGGTCGGGGACCTCACAATTCAACCCGGAGTTATCCTGGCAGCCTCAGCCAGTTTAGCTTATCCAACTCATCCAACTCTGGCTACTAATGATATATCCTGCAAAGCCTGAAAGCCTGGTCTAGGGCCCCCACAACTGACCCACTGTACTTTCCAAAAAAAGATCTCCATTAAAATTCGGTACATACTCAAATACAACCAATCTTAAAGCTCAAAAAATTACAAAACAACTAGCTCTAATTATTCATATGAAAAACCCTTATCGGCTGGAATACCACAAGTCTGATACATCCATTAGTAGGCTCAAAA